TTCTAAGTGTCACATTCACTTTGGTAATTATTTGTTTACATGTTTAATTTCTCCACTAGGCTGTGAGCCCCTACAAAAGAAGAGACTATCTTACCCATTATTCTGACTGGCACATAGTGGTTGCACAACAGACGCTGGGTGGAGGGATGGATGGCTAGAAAAAGGGGATCGAAGGATGGCTAACATTAGGATGACAAAAAGATACAGCAAAGCTGATGTGACCATGCCAGGGGTCATGGTCCAGAGGATGGGAAAGAAGATTAACATTAGTTATTGAGGCTATGACCAGACTGTAAAGAATCTTAAATGCCAGGGAGAGAATCAACTTTATTTGGTCGGCAAAGGGGAGTGACTGAACGTCTTGAAGCATGAAAGGTCATGACCAAAGCAACGTTACAGGAAGATGCGCCCTTCCTTCACTATCTGCACATTTCTGGACCGACCTCTTGCACCTTCAGCAGAAGTGCACTGTGGAAGGCTAACACATTCGAACGCCACACTAAATATAACATGTGAGGATGGTAAGTTTGTTGTATCTCTTTTCATAGAAGTGGTTTTGGATTATCCACATGATTAACTCCATGAGCCATTAGCATAAATACAGAGGAGGTTAACCAAGCTGAATGAGGAACAACTTAAAAGCAGAGTTCACTCTATGCTGATCCGACTGGAGATGAAAATTCAGCCACCAGTTCCAGTCTGATGAACTGCTGATCCCAGAAACCTCCACTTCCCTGTGTGACCTTCATTGGAACTGCTACCCAGGAGGTGTGGGCTGGGCATACAGGATTCCCGACACGTCCCAGGGTTCCGAGGGTGACTCAGCTATGGGCTGGCTACCACTAACAAACATTTGTTACCTGCCACCATCCGAAAACATGACGTATTGGGAACCACACTCTCAAGACCAAGAGCCCCAGCAAGGCCTGGAACTCCAGCGAGGGAAAGGCAAGAACTCCAGAGAGCCACAGCGGCCAACAAATTCACCCCTGAGTTTATTCCTTGTTTTTATACCTTGGCTTTTCTTCTCCTATTGAATCCCACTGTTCTCTATGAGGTTGGAAAGCCTGCTAAAGGACAAATTCATCCAAAGGCCTCACTAGAGCAGAAGTATTTCCTAAGATTTTTAAAGAAACAGGTCAAGAGAAAAAGGCAGGAAAAGTAGGTTCTGGGTCTACACTGAGCAAATAAAATGCATGGACAGAATGGGAGTGAAATCTGGGAGAGGAATGAGCAAACTTAAGAATGAATCTGGCCCTAGCTGGTTTGGCTCAGCGGATAGAGTGTCGGCCTGCGGACTCAAGGGTCCCAGGTTCGATTCCGGTCAAGGGCATGTACCTGGGTTGCGGGCACGTCCCCAGTAGGGGGCGTGCAAGAGGCAGCTGAATCGATGTTTCTCTCTCATCGATGTTTCTAACTCGCTATCCCTCTCCCTCTCCCTTCCTCTCTGTAAAAAAATCAATAAAATATATTTAAAAAAAAAAAAAAAAGAATGAATCTGGCCCTGGCTGGTTTGGCTCAGTGGATAGAGTGTCAGCCTGTGGACTGAAGAGTCCCAGGTTCAATTCAGGCCAAGGGCACATGCCTGGGTTACCGGCTCGATTCCCCCCCAATAGGGGGCATTTGGGAGGCAGCCAATCAATGATTCCTCTCTCATTGATGTTTCATTCTCTCTATCCCTCTCCCTTCCTCTCTGAAATCAATAAAAAAAAATAATAAATAAATAAATAAGACTAAAAAAAAATAATGAATCTGTTCCTCACACCATACATAAAAATTAATGCAAAATAGATTACAAACCTAAATATAAGAGCTAAAACTATAAGAGTTTTTTTTAAGAGTTTTTCTTAGGAGAAAATGTAGGGAAAAAATCTTCATGACCTTGGGTTAGGCAAAGTCTTCTTAGATATGGCACCAAAAGCACAAACAATCAAAAAAAAAACAGATAAGTTTGAGTTTATTAAAATTAAAAACTTGAGCTTCAAAAGAAAACACCAAAAAAGTGAAAAAGATAACCCAAAGAATGGGATAAAATATTTGCAAATCATATATCTAATAAGTAACTTGTATCCAGAATATATCAAGTACTCTTACAACTCAGTAATAAAAAGACCAATAAACCAATTAAAAGATGCAAAAATGTTTTTTTTTCCAATGGGCAAAGGGACTTTTTTTTTTGCAAAGCATCTTAATAGACATTTCTCCAATGAAAATAAAATATGACCAATAAGCACGTGAAAAGATGTTCAACTTCACTAGTTACAAAAGAAACAAATTGAAATCACAATGAGATAACATTTCACATCCACTAGGATGGCTACAATAAAAAAAGACAGACAGTAACAAGTGTTGGCAAGGACCACACACACACACACACACACACACAGACACACACTGCTGGTGGAAATGTAAAATGGTGCAGCCACTTTGAAGACCAAGGCTGATGGTTAAACATAGTTACTTCTAAGTGGGAAAACATAGTTACCATCAATTGCTCCTATTCCTTCTGATCACCTGGGTGAGGCTTCACAAACGCCTGGTTCCTAACATGAGCAACATGTTACCAAGTCAGGTCTGTCTCTTCTGGTCTCCACACCCCTCTCAAAAGCTACCTCTTCCGTAATTCCAGACCCTTTGAACTGTGTCTCATCCATTAAAACTTCAGTTCTCCCTGACAAACCCAAAGTCTCTTGATTTTTCTCCCTGTTCCCTATACAGTCTTCCTCCACCAAATTCATGGGCTTCATCCTAGTCCAGTGGTTCTCAACCTTGGCTGCACATTAGAATCACCTGGGAATCTTTTTAAAATCCTGATTTCTGGGCCTCATCCTCCGGAAATTCTGTTTCTTTGTTACTAATGTTGTGGCCTCCCCCCATAACAAAGAAACAGAATTTCCGAAGGATGAGGCCCAGAAATCAGGATTTTAAAAAGATTCCCAGGTGATTCTAACGTGCAGCCAAGGTTGAGAACCACTGCATTACAGGCTGAGTTGAAGCAACAAAACTTGGGACTAAGTGACCTCTGAAGCTCACTCAGCCGGTCCGGGGCTGTGGTGCCTCCAGCATTCCCCGGAGGTGCCTGCTCATTATGCCCAGAGGCATGGCTCTTGCTTACAGTCAACGCCTTCCCAGCTGGCCCTCAAACAAACTCTCTGAGTGTTAGTTAGCAAGAGGGTGACCGCTGCGTCCAACTGAGTAGGAATCACAGATACACCTGTCCACCTGCCAGCCCGAGGCTTCCACCTGATGCCCCCACTTGAGCCGATTACCTGCCTTTCAGAAAACCAAGCACCACGCACACGCCCCTGCACAGGTGCACACAGTGGAGCAGACACTCAGGTTCTCTAACAAGACCATAATTCCCAGCTGTCCCTGGCACTCGGCTGAGAGACAGGACAAGGAACAGGAGGCAAAGAAAAGGAGACACACCACTGGCCAGCACAGCCCACAGCGCCAGACACACGAGCTGCATCTTCTGGTGCGACCACAGCGCTCCTGGCTCAGATCTCGACCAGCTCTCTGCACAGAAAGGATGCTTTCTAGCGAGAGGCAGGCAGCGGGACAAAACCAAGGGCTGACTTCTAGGCAGTGACACGGGGTTCCCATTTTGATGTCAAATGACCCCTGAGGTAGCACGAAGCAGGGGGAACAAACTCGGCTGGACTATTGGCCAGAAGCAGTTCCCAGGGGTCTGGGCATTAAATCCTGCCGTGGCCAGGGCCCTCACCTCAGTGCTGAAAACAGCATCCAGCCCAAGAACCAAGGAAGACCTCGCCATACACAGGTGCTTCTCTATATTAGAGGTAAAGGTCTAAAATCATGGCTCAGGCTATGGGTTATCCATCTACCAAACCAAAGCAAAGTCCTGCCGGCCCTGGGGCCCTCCATCATCATGTAGTCTATTGGCCATCTCAGGTGTTCAGAAAAGCCAGGGGGACTAAAGAACTGAAATGCAAGCCATTAGCTTCCTCCTCCTCATTGCAAACTTTTACTTGGTGGAGCTGGTTGTTTCGGGTCCTTTGACTTCTTTTGCTCATTCCTGGCCTAGGGACTCACAATGAAATGGTCAGAGTGCAGAGGGGGCAAGTCATTGGAAGAGGAAGAAAGATAGATCCTAAACACACAGGACATAAACAAAGCCCTCCAGCTAAACTCTGGGCTGGGCCCCAGCTTCCTGACAGGGAGCGTTGGACCATCTCAAAGCACCCCAAGGATCCAGGGGACCCCTCTCCATCCCAATCACCACCCATTACCACACCCTGCATGGCCATACAATAGAAAGCGAAATAAATGAGAAGTCAAAGGCTTGGACATGAGCAGCATAGGTCCTATGCCATCGGAGAAAGCAGGAAGGCATTATTTCTACCATGAACGGTCCTTAAAACCCGGCCTCACCTCTTCTCTTCTCCCTAACCCGGGAAGACCCTGGTCAAGTGTCTGTGGTTCAAGGAAGCCTGTGCTTCTCCAGGTGGCACATCTTGTTCAAGTAGGAAAAAAGGAAACCCAGGAAGGATTCCCATAGCCAGGAGGACGGGAAACTTTGAGGAGCCACACCAACCAAACGACCAGAAATAGAGGCACAGGCGGGCAGGCCAATGCCACCTGCCCTGTCACCTAGACAGTGGGCTGGCAGCGGGTTATAAGGAGCCCGGGTGAGACACATGCAACCCACCGGGCGAGGCGCAAAGAGAGGGAGAGGGGATGGGGGCGATGGCCCCGCACCCAGGCCTTCCCTCTGCGCTCCAGGGACCGCCCGAAGCGAGCACACCCGACGCAGGAAGCCAGAGGGGCTGGAGGGAAGGGGAGGCGGCCACGGCGCTCCACGGAGACACCAGGCCTCGCGTGGCGCACGGGGAGCGCACACCCGGCCGGGACGGCGTGCAAGGGCGGGGTGGGCGTGCAAGTGGCTGGGCGAGGGGTTGCAGGCGTCGCCGGCAGGGCCCGCGGGGCGAAGGCCGGGGGCGGCGGGGGGCGTGGGAGCGCGCCGGGGAGCTGGTTACCGTGTGGTTCACCCCCCACATCAGGACGCTGAGAATCGGCTCGCTGGCCCGGAATAGCTTCACTTTCTGGCACACAAAATGCTTCTTCTTGGTCTTGGTCTTGCTGGCGCTCAGCGGCGCCACCGCCACCGCCGTGGTGCTGGTGCAGTTGGACGACATGCCCGGGGCGGCGGCGGCGGCGAAAGGGGGGGCGGCCGAGACAGCGCACACGCCAGCGGCCCCAGGCCTCCCCCGGACCGATCCCCACCCCCGCTCCCTCACCGCTCCATGGTCGCGCCCGTCCCGTTACCTCCCCACCCCG